CAAGAAAACGTTGGGCAAACTGAAAGTCAATGACTTTTCTTGGACTCATCAGAGAGCTGAGTTTACAGGGCAAACTGCCACCCCAGAATCTGGACAGAGGTGAACTCAGACTCACAGCTGCAGCCAGCTTACTCGGCGTGAAGACACTGGAACCGTAGATGTCAGGAACATTTTGAGGAATTGCGGAGGCTGAGTGTGGACTAGCGTGACAGTGAGAAACTCCTGGGGGCCCCAGCATAAGGGAGACCCACATTTCCATGGGTTTTACCTCCAGGAACCCCTCCAGGTTGTCACAGCTAAGAGCTGAGAAAGAGCCTCTGGTGGCGCTGGCAGGCGAAGGGGCAGAGTAATCTCTAAAATAAACAGGGCATTTCAGGGGAAAAGGGCTCAGTAGAGTCTGATCCCACCTGGGGAGGGGCACCCCTTCTACTCGTGGTCTTCCTGTCTTATCTCAGGGAGGGAAAGGTAAAAGAAAACTCCTGTTTTTTCTATAAACTCCACTACTCACACACTTCTGACACTAGATGTATGTATGGACTTTTTCCTACACTGACTACGTTGACACCAGTTGTGTGCCCTTCAGTTTAATGCAGTTTTGACCTTATCTACCTGGAGTTATTGTCAGATCCCTCACACTAAGGGCTCAGTCTGCCCCTACTTCACATCCCATTCGCAAGTGCCGGCCTCTGGTACTTCTGACCCACCAGCTGTTAACTGGGGTTCCCACACCCCCTCCACTGGGTTTGGTAACTTGCTATAATGGCTCACAGAGCTCTGCAAAAGTTAACTTACTAAATTACCAGTTTATTATAAAAGAATTCAATTTAGGAATGGCCAGATGGGAGAGATGCATAAGACAAGGTATGGGAGAAGGGGTGTGGAGTGTGCACGCCTCCTCTGGGCACCCCACTCTCCCGCACCCTGTGGTGCTCACCAACCCGGAAGCTCTCCGAGCCCTTCAGTTAGGGTTTTTGTTGTTGTTATTTTTAATGGAGGCTTCATTACTTGGGCATTGTTGACTACATCCTTGGCCATTAGTGATTAACTCAACCTTGAACCCATCTTCCCTCCCTGGAGGCCAGAAATTGAGGCCATGGGGCTGAAAGTTCCAACCCTCTAATCACACGGTTCTCCTGGCAACCAACCCCCAAACGCTGGGGCTTTCCAAAAGTCACTTCATTTGCATAAACTGGTGTGTTTGACCAGGGACTTGTTATGGATAACCAAAGATGCTCCCTTCGCTTTTATCTCCAGATCTATTTCAGGAATAGAGACAAAACCCAGAGTATGACAAAAGATGCTCCTACCACTAAGTAAATTCCAGGCTTTTAGGAGCTCTGGAACCAGGAACAAAGGCCAAAAATATATTTCTTATTATATCACAGTGTCACAGGGATTAAAAACACTTCTGAAGGTCACAGCCTAGGGACACAGGTCCACTAAAATACTGAGATTTTATCATAAATTAATAGACCAATTCCTCTCCCCCAAACCTTACCACAGCACCAACAGGGCTCCAGTAGTAACAGTGGGTTACAGCTAAAAGAGCTACATAGTACAAATTCTTTGAGGAGGACTATCTAAAGGAAGCCCAAAGGCAAGAGGGGAGTAAAAACAAAGGCTGGGGGAATTTGAGGCCTCTGAAACCTACAGCCATAGCACACAAACACAGATCAACTCCTAATCAGGTTATCATAAGCCCACACACTGTCAGCTTATTTACCTCAGTTCTTATTACCCAATACTGTCAATATTGTCTGACTTCCAACAAAATGACAAGCATGCTAAAAAAAAAAAAAAAAAGCCAAGGGAAAAACACAGTCTGATGAGACAAAGCAAGTACAGAATAGGACATGGCTGGAGTTATCAGACAGGGAATTTAAAATCCCTTGCTATGTTAAGGACTCTAATGGTAACAGTAATATGCAAGAAGAGATGGGTAATGTGAAGCAGAGATAAGAACTCTAGGAGGTGGTCAAAAGGAAATGCTGGGAATAAAAAAAAAACACTGTCACAAAGAATGCCTATGATGGGCTTATCAATAAATTGGACACAGCTGAGGAAAGAATCTGTGCGCTTGAAGGTAGGTCAGCAGAAAGTTTCCTACTGAAATGCAAAAGAAAACAGGAACAACAAAAAAAGAATATTCAAGAACTCTGGGACAATTTCAAAAGATGTAAAATTGGAATACCAGAGGAGAAAAAAGAATGAAGAAGAACTATTTGAGCAACAGTAGCTAAGAACTTCCAAATTAATCACAGTCACCAAACCACAGATCTGGGAAGCTCAAGAGAATACCAGGCAGTATAAATACAAAAAATCTACACATACATACATACATCTATCTGAACTGCAGACACCAAAGACAGAAAATCTTGAAAGTAGCCAGAAGAAAAAAACTAACCTGCAAGAGAAACAAAGATAAGAATTACAGCTGACTGGTCGGAAACCATGCAAGATATCGGGTGTGGAGTGAACATCTTAGAGTGAACCCCACCCTACCCATGAACTTAAGAGTCCTGTTTCTGGCAAAATTATCCTTCAAAAGTGAAGGAGAAATAAAAATGTTCTCAGATCTGACTTCCACCAAGATGGAGGCATAGGTGGAAATGCTGTGCCTTCTCTCACAACCAAGTTTAGAGACAATTAAATATTAGCAACAGAAAACAAAGCCAGAACACAGAAAACTGAACTTTTCGGAAGTCCGATAACAACAATTCTTCAGCCTGACCGGTAAGAGGGGCGAAACCAGCAGCTGGCGGAGCGGGGTTGCACAGGAAAACTCGGTCAGACGGACTCAGGCGCGTGGAATCCAGGCGCAGGGTTGGACCTAGTAAGCGACTCAGCGAGCGACCGCGGGGAAACAGCGAGGGAGCAGGGCTGCGGGTTGACTGTGGTCGCGCTTTCCTGCGCAGATAGACAAGCCAGGGAGTGGGCGGTGAGACTACGGGACTGAGCAGGCCCCACGCAAGCGACAGCACAGAGCGCCGCCATTTCCCTGCTCTGACCCTGCCTCCACATACAGCGTCATAACCTAGCGACTCTGAGTAGCTCAGCCCCGGTGAACCACCTAAGGTTCTGCTCCTCACCCAGCGGCGAGGAACAGCAGAGGAGGTCACCATTTCCCCGCTCTGACCACGTCCCCATATATAGCATCACAACCCAGCGACCTGAGAGTCCAAGGCTCTGCTACTCATACTTAACGGGTGAGAACAGACCAAAAATGGCTCAAGAAGATCTCAAAGCCCCAGAGCCTACAAATCTAAGCAATGAAGAAATAGCAAAACTCTCAGACACACAGTTTAAAACACTGGTGATCAGGATCCTCACAGAACTGGTTGATTATACCCACAAATTAGACAAACATATGAAGGCAAAACTAATTGAAATGAATGGAATTGCACAGGAAACCAATAGTGATGAAAAGGAAACTGGGACTCAAATCAATGGATTGGACCAGAAGAAAGCAAATAATGGCCAAACAGAAAAGAGTCAAGAAGCAAGAATTCAAAAAAAATGAGGAGAGTCTTAGGAACCTCCAGGACATCTTTAAACTCTCCAACATCCAAATTATAGGGGTACCAGAAGGGGGAAAGGCACAGCCACCAGTGGAAAACTTATTTGAACAAATAATAAAGGAGAATTTCCCCAATCTGGCAAAGGCAATAGACTTCCAGGAAATCCAGGAAGCTCAGAGAATCCCAAAGAAGTTGGACCCAAGAAGAAACACACCAAGGCACATCATCATTACATTAGCCAAGATTAAAATGGAGAGAATCCTAGAAGCAGCAAGAGCTAAGGGGACAGTCACCTACAAAGGAGTTCCTATCAGACTGTCAGCAGATTTCTCAAAAGAGACCTTCCAGGCAAGAAGGGGCTGGAAAGAGGTATTCCAAGTCATGAAATCCAAAGACCTACAACCAAGATTGCTCTATCCAGCAAAGCTTTCATTTAGAATGGAGGGACAGATAAGGTGCTTCTCAGATAAGATCAAATTCAAGGAGTTCATCATCACCAAGCCCTTATTATATGAAATGTTAAAGGGACTTATCTAAGAAAAAGAAGTTAAAGAAACATGAACAGTGAAAGGACAGCAAACTCACAGTTATTAACAACCACACCTAAAACAAAAGCAAACTAAAAGGACAGCTAGATCAGGAGTGGAAACATAGAAATGAAGATCTCAAGGAGGGTTAGCAATAGGGGAGTGGGAGGAGGAGAAGGGGAGAGAAGGTACAGAAAATAAGTAGCATAGACAGTAGATAGAAAATTGATGGGGGGGCAAGAATAGTATGGGAAATACAGAATCTAAAGAACTTGAGACACATGGTCATAAACTAAAGGAGGGGTAATGGTGGGGACGGGCGGGGGGTAGGGCGGAGGGGAATGAAGGGGCGAATAGAACAACTGTAATGGCATAATCAATAACAAAAGAAATTAAAAAAAAATGTTCTCAGATCCGTAACAGTAGAACTTCAGGTATGCATCTCATCCATGTCTTGCTTATGAAAAAAATTGATGTCCAGAGCCTGTTAAGTGGCTAAGTATGGAAGGGATATACACAAAGTTTTCTTATTCACTTTGTAAATAAAAATTTTTAGTCAGTTTCTTTGCACAGTTCGAACCCTTCATTTTGAAACTGGAGAAGTCGAGAAAAACTGACTTATTTGAGGTTGAATAGAAAGTTATTCCCCAACTTCGAATAGACACTCAGCTCTCCTTTATTTTCTCCTATAACTTTGTTCTCTGAATGATTGGGTTTGACCTTATTTAAAAATATTTCCCCTTGTGAAGGGGAAGACGAATACACACACAAAAAAATACTCAATGTTTTTAGGAGGGTGCTCTAAAGCGAAGGTGTACTTGTCCGCAGCTCAACTCCCAAATCAAAACACCGCCACCAAGGACTACAAGTTCCAGGTTGCCCCGCAGCACACTCGCGCTGGCCTCGGGGTCGAGTCTCCCAAGAATCTGCGCCGCCGGAAGTGGAAACTGCCCGGAGGGGAAACCCCGCGAGGTCACCGCTGGTAGGCTTTCGCTGCTCGTGTCCCTTCCTGCCTCTGGATTCGCGGCACCGCCACTGTCGACATGCCCATGAAAGGTCGCTTTCCCATCCGCCGCACCCTGCAGTACTTGGGCCAGGGGGATGTTGTATTCAAGGACTCAGTGAAGGTCATGACTGTGAATTACAACACGCACGGGGAGCTGGGCGAAGGTGCCAGGTCAGTGCGAGACCTGTGAGGCCGCCCCGGGTGATTGTAACAACGTGTTAGTAACGTGGAGACTTGGATCTGCGCTTAATTCTGGGTCTGGACCCCCGAAGTTGGTGCTGTTGCCACCATTTTGTAGAATTGTGGAGTAATTCCTCCACAGCCAGAAGAGAACAGCGGGGCCACGCTGTGCCGGCTGACTTGGGGGAGGGGAGGGAGGGGCCCCTTCCTCCTCTTTCCCCCGGGGTGGAGGACAGGGCTAACCCGGGGAGACCTCAGCCACTTTAACCACCTGTGCCCCTGGGCCAGCATTTGGGAAGAGCTGCGGGCGGTCTGGGTAGAACGCAGTCTAGGGCGACAGACCTTGCTGGGGTCCCATTCCATTTGCTGCTGGCTTTGGGCTAGTCGATCCTCCTCAGTGTCCCAAACGGGGGTGATAGCAACGCCCCAGGGCCGATGTGGGGATGCACTGAGAGAAGTAAGAGCCGCTGGAATTTATTGAGTTCTTTTATGTGCAGCACGTTCTGAATGCTTCTTGTGTATTCTCTCCATTTGGTCTCTTAAGGAATCTCATTGTTATACTCACCCTGGGCATGAAGAAATGCAACGAGAGGTTAGGTAACTTGTCCAAAGTATCACAGCTAGTGAGTGGTGGCTCTCAAAGTGCAGCTTTTTTGGTAGGACTTCTCACCGTTATAATTAAGTGACTAGTCAACTGTGTAGTGACACCCTCACCCGCCTCCGGAATTCATGGTTTTCAGCCTGGGGCAGTCAATGAGTGTAAGCTTGCAAGTGGAAGGTTTTAATTGAACCTTGAGACAACAGCCGTGCTTTGGGCTTCTCTGGTACTAAGTATAAATTTATTGAGTGCCAGCTGACTGTTCGGCTCTGCTGTGTGCTGGGAATTCATCAGTGACTAAGAAGAAAGTACTGCCCTGCAGAACTTTGAGATCAGGTGTGTGGAATGGATCAGAATGAGACATGAGAGCAACTCCCTGTGAAGGAAGGGTGGTCTCTAATGGAGGGGCCCTCACTGCACAGCTGTTCCGGGATAGCTGTAGCTACCTCTTAGCCATTTGTCACCCCCCCCCCCCCAGGAACCCAAGAACTTGGACCTGCTTCCATGGGATCATTGGTCACCCTTCATAACCCACTGTGCACACATCCACACCAGAAATAACGAGGCTGAGGCCAGGCAGGCAGCAGAAAGGAGAGAAGCAAGAAATCACGAGGCTGAGGCCAGGCAGGCAGCAGAAAGGAGAGAAGCAGGCTGCACGGGCCTGCATGAACTGGAAAAACATGCCCTGTCTCAAGGGGCCATTCACTGTTTGGCCACATCTACCTATGTCTGGTCTAGGAGAATTTCAGATTTGTTAAGAGGCCAGAAGTTCAGATTTTTATGTTAGTATCTGGTATTTAAATGACCAACCAGTCAAAATAGGCTTGCAAGCCTTAGTGTCACCTACTTAAGTATTTTAATACCCTTTAGGTAAATAGGATACAAATAGCTACAGTGTGTTTTCCGTTCCCACTTGTGCCTTTTTTTGTGATTTCGTACCCTTGGGTTTGAGAGCCTGCCTGGCTTGTGCTTTCCAGCTCCACAGGTCTTTTTGTCATGTGCCCTCAGCATTTCAGCTGTTCCTCCATTCCAGGTGCTGCTGGCCAGACTACAGCCCCAGGGTAGCCAGAGTCTTGGGCTGTCCTCTGGGCATGTGGGGGAGCTGCCTTGTTCAGTGCCTGAGGACTGAGTCCCCTGGCACAGGCGTTCTTGCTGTTAGGATGCAGTAAGAGAAGTGACAGCTGTGAGCATTTATTGAGTTCTGGGTTTAGCCCTGAGCCTCAGGCTCTAGGTGGGCTGGATAATTTGATAGGGACAAAACAGAGTGGAAGACGTCCAGATGCAAATCAGTCTTGGCTCTTTGACTTACCAGTTGTTGACATAGGGCAGTTGACTGACTTTTTAGGTTTTCCTTAGTTGTATGTAAAAGTCTACCTTCCAGGGTTGCAGTGAGGGTTCGAGAGTAAAGTGCCTAGTAAGGTGTCGTTTATAAAGCAATTGCTCAACTAAAGGTCACTTACCATGGCTAACTTTCTCCCCAGTGCTTCAGCAAGAACCACTTGAAGATCCTGTTGAATCTTTAGGAGTTTTAGGTGTGAAAAGTTCCCACATGGATATGTCTTGTTTTATTTGTACTGAACCCCGTGATACTGGGGTGGGCCCAGGGAGGTACGGCCTTTGAGCTTCCGGCCCGTGTGCTGTCCTGGTTTGCAGCTTCTTCCTCTAGAGGCAACAGCTTTCAACTTTTAACCATTTAACTAGACTTTTCCCTCCGTATCGTTAAATAACTTACTTAGAAGGCTATTATTTCCTTAGCTTTAGAATCATCCAGTACCTTGTCACCAAGGAACATGAAGATTCAGCTCTTTCACCGCCACTTCCATTCCCCACACTCAGCGTGTGTGTACTGCCCGACCCCCCGAGCCCAGCCTTCCCAATAGTCTTTTCAAAGTTTTGGATAGAACAATATTCAGTGTTTAAATTAACAATATCGTGAACATCATACACAGTTGAGCCAAATAGACTACTCTGATTATTTTTCCTTTTCGTTTTTGCAGAGGTTTTTGTTTTCCCTGGAATTAATGATTGTCATTGTTTTTCTTTTCTTTCTGCCCCAATTATGGAGTCTCCCCAACAAAATGGTCACACAGTCAGGCTTTCTGTTGATTCTCTCAATTTTATCATCCTGAAAATAGACGTCAGGCTCTATTGTGGACTGTTGTCCTGCGTTGCCATCTTCTTGGCGTCAACACTGAGGCACAGAGCACTAACTTGCGTCACATGGCTGGGAGGTAGTAGTTGGGCAACTGTGCTTCTGTCCTGTGTACCACTCCTACCTTTCTGTCCTGTGGTGTGTGGGGCAGGGTGGGCAGCAGGAAGCCAAGGGAGCATTTAAATTCACATCATCTGGGGAGCCTTTAGTTAAGGGACTATTTACAAAGGTTTGGGTATGACGAGGGAAAGAAACCACAGGAACAGTGCAGCGTCCCCAGTCTAGGCTTGCAGAAGTGGCGGGGAGTTGGAGAGGGCTGCCTGGGATTAGCCAGGGGACGGGCCAGGACGTGGGCCAGGGAAATAAGCGCCTTGGCTCTACTCCTTCCTTCCAGCCTTTGCCAGTGCTCGCTGTTGGCCAAACGCAACAGAATCCAGAGGGCAAGGAGTCCTGTTTCCACAGCCCACGGGAGGTGCCGTTCAGGATGGAAGGAGGGGAGAGGGACGCAGAGAGAGAGTTGTGATTTAGTAAGTCCTCTGTTGAGGGGCATGTGAGTCGTTTTCGTTTCTCTGCTGTAAGAAATAATGCCGTAGTAAGCCTCACATGTGTCTTTGCATTCAAACATAAAAATATATAAAAGCAGAAGTGAAATTGAGTCAAAATCTATGCTTTAAAAATTTTGCTAGTTCGAAATTTTAACTCTGAAGAGGTTAAACCGTTTAATATTGTTAATGAAATGTATCCTAAATTTGCAATTTACGAGAATAACAATATTTTAATCTACATGACTTTATTGGGAAGGTGGGCTGTTTGCCTCGGCCTGTTGGTGGCCTTTGCCTTTTGTTCAACTGTAACTCTCACTGACTGTGTGTAAAACTGTCACAAGGTAATTGGCCTTTTGTTTTGTGTTTTACAAACACTTTTCCCTTTGGTTTGGTGAATGTTTTGTTTTTGGTAAATTTTGCCATGCAAAAGTTTTAACGTAGTCACCCTTTAAACTTTCTAAGTGTAAAGGTTTTACCAATTCTAGATCGTAAAGATTTCTCGCGTGTGTTTTCATGTTCTTAAATGTCAGTAGACATGAGGCGCACGCCCGTAGTGTGCAGCTCAATGAATTCTGCGTGTGGATGCACCCGTGGAACCACCATTCACGTGAACTGAGGACATCCCAGATTCTCTCTTCCGTGTGTACTTCTGCTCTGGTGCATTTTAGGTTGGTGCGCAGTGTGAGGCGGGGCCACTGATTTCTCATCCGTCAGAGGACGGACCTCGGGTCTGGACCCCGTGCTCAGGGAGTACACTGGCGCATTCTGGAAAGCGACTTTTCTCAGCCGTTTTGGGGATCAGGGTCCTCTGAGAATCTGATGAAAGTTTTGTTCTTTTTTCCTAGAAAAATAATTAAGCAGGTCGCACAGTTTTAGGTTCAAAAGTCTTGTTTAATGGGTTCAATTTTTTTCTTTGCAGGAAATTTGTGTTTTTCAACATACCTCAGATCCAATACAAAAACCCTTGGGTGCAGATCATGATGTTTAAGAACATGACCCCATCACCCTTCCTTCGATTCTATTTAGGTGAGTGCGGGGGCCTCCGCTCTGGTCTGGGACTGTCTTTCCTCCCTCGCGAGGCACAAGCTCCTGTGAAACCAACACTCCTCCTGTCACCTTGGCTTCAGTGGCCGTTGAGATCTGGGTGCTTTTTCCCACTCCTGCCTCGTCTCCTGTTGCCTCCATATGTCTTTCTTACATGCCTCACACCACACACGCTGTTTTTTCCAAACTCCCTCACCATACTTTGCTTTGATGCCTTTGCTCATGTTGGTCCCTCTGCTGAAATCCTGTTTCTACTTTTTTTTTCTAATTTAATTTTTAAAAAATCCTTCAAGACTCACCTTGGGCACTACTTCTTCCAGGAAAGCTCTGCGGCACACTTAGATCGGCCCTCCTCTGTCTCCCAGGGCCCCTCTCCTGGCACTGGACCAGCGCCTGTTTGTGCATCGTCTCTGTACCAAGTTGTACTTACTCAGTTAAATGGGGCTCAGGGACTGGAAGTCAGAAGACCAGATGTCTTGGTCCAGCTCTTAGTCATTCTGACTCTGAGCGAGAAAATGCCCATTGCTTTATTTCTCAAGTAAAGGCGTATTTCTCAGCATCGGTCTTACACAGTGAAGTGAATCAAATGAAGTGTAGATTGGAAAATGCTTCGGGAAACAAAATCATGGTCTTTCATTTTACTGCTGGCAGGAATGGCCAGAGCATTCAGCAAACATGTCATGCCAGGACCCGCAGGCTTGGGGGTCAGGGAACCATACAAAGATCCCCGCCCCTGCGGAGATGGACTCTACCAGAGGAGACAGAGGAATAAGAAACTTAGTAAGATATTATGTTAGAATAAGATAAGTGCTATGAAAAAAAGATAGAGGTTAAGTGGGTGGTGGAGAGAATGGTGGTGGTATGATACTTTTGTGTATGTCTTTTGTGTTTGCATTTAAATTAACTTTACTGAGCTCTGGCTGGTGTAGCCCAGTGGACTGAGCACTGGACAGTGAACCAAAGGGTCGTTGGTTTGATGCCCACTCAGGACACATGCTGGGGTTGCAGGCCAGGTCCCCAGTAGGGGGTGCTCGAGAGACAACCACACACTGATGTTTCTCTCCTCCTTTCTCCTTTCCCCTCTGCCTACAAATAAATAAATAACCTTGAAAAATGCAACTTTATTGAGTTATAATTTACCTATAATAAATGTGCAGGTCTAATGTGTATAGATCAATGAGTTCTGCCAGTTAATGTTTCTGTGTCTCAACTTTTCCAAAGGGGATGGAGAACATTTCTGCTTCTCAAGAAAGTTCTTGAGATATTAGCAGGAATATCGCTATATTCCTGCTAATTCCCCCTACCAGCAGAGGCAAGCATGGTTATGATTTCTTTCACCATAAAATAGTGTTGCTTCAGAACTTCATATAAATAGAATCTCACAGTATGTACTTTGTATCTGGCTTTTACTCATGATTTTGTGATTCAGCTATGTTATATGGATCAGTAGTTTATTCATTTTTATTAAGTACTATTCCATCATAGGAATGTACCAGTTTATTTACCCACTCACCTGTTGATGAACACCTGGGTTTTTGTTAGATGCCAGGACGGAAGTATGAGATTTATCGGAGATAAAAGAGAGAGGGAGGAGGGATGGGCAGGGCAAGTCTTCATATGGCAAAACAGAACAGGTCCCACGCCTCTAAAAGGAGGAGGAGGAGGAGGAGGAGGAAGGAGGTGTGGACAGGCAGCCCCTCATGGGGACAGAGCTCTTAGAAGTCTGGGCCAGCCTAGTGGGAAGTTGCATCTGCACTTTGGGTAGAAATAGCCAGGTCCTAGACCTAGGCCGGGGGCGCCTGGGCCTGGCTCTGGTGTTGCTTGGTGGACCCCAAAACATAGCAGCTGGGCTGCCGGCTGGCAGCTCCTTGCAGGAAGGCTTTCTTGAAGGGAGGTGTGAGTGGCAGGCCTCCCTGGCTGTGAAGGGTTGTTTCCAGTTTGGCTACTAAGTGTGTCCGTCAGCACCTTCTTACACAAGGCGTCTCTGGACACAGGTGCTCCGCTCTCTCCAGGGCCTCTGAAGGATGGGATTGCTGGGTCACAGACTAGGCACGTGCTGTCCTTAGAAACTGCCCAGCAGGCTTCCAAAATGACTGGGCCATCACCTCACCCTGTAGGCAGCAGGGTGTGGGTCACGGTGGCCCCACACCCTCACCCAGATTGGTGGTGTTACTTCAGATGAACACAAACGTGGTGGTTTAAAGCAACACAAGTTTTGTGTCTTCTGGTTCTGTAGGTCAGAAGACCTGCCGAGTCTAAAGTCAAGGTGTCAGCAGAGCCTTCTGTTCCGGAGGCTCTGCAGGAAAGTCCATCTCCATGCCCCTCCCAGCTTCTAGAGGTCACCCCTGTTCTTCGGCTTGTGGCTCTGTCCTCAGTCTTCAGAGCCAGTAATGACACGTACCTATCTGGCCATTCTGCCATAGACACATGTCCCTCTGACTACTGCCCGGGTAGGTTCTCCGATTTTAAGGCCTATGTGATTGAATTGGGCCCACCAAATAAGGACAATGTCCTCATCGCCAAGTCCTTAACGTTAATCACCTCCAGAGTCCCTTTTGCCACATAAAGTGACATATTTACAGGTTCTGGGGGATTAGGACAGGGACATCTTTGGGGGCTGTTATTTCACTCATATTGTCTTAAATTTTAGCCATCCCAATGGATTTTAATTTGCTTTTCCCTGTGGGTAACGTTTTTTCTATGTGCTTACTGGCTATTCATATATGTATTTCTTTTGTAAAGAGACTATTGTATCTTTTATCCATTAAAGAAATGGGCTTTAAAAGATTGTTTAAAAATTCTGGATGTAATTACTTTGTCAGTTATATGTATTGTGAGTATTTTTTCTTTATGGCTTGCTTTTCCTTTTCTTAGTGGGTTTTTTTTTTTTTTTTACTCCTTACCTGAGGACTTTTTTTAAAAAAAATTTTTTATTGATTATGCTGTTACAGTTGTTCTATTCCCCCTTTCATTCCCCTCCCCCCTAGCCCCCATCCCCACCATTACCCCCCCTTTAGTTTATGACCATGTGTCTCAAGTCCTTTAGATTCTATATTTCCCATGCTATTCTTGACCCCCCATCTATTTTCTATCTACTGTCTATGCTACTTATTTTCTGTACCTTCTCCCCCCTTCTCCTCCTCCCACTCCCCTGTTGCTAACCCTCCTTGAGATCTTCATTTCTATGTTTCCACTCCTGATCTAGCTGTCCTTTTAGTTTGCTTTTGTTTTAGGTGTGGTTGTTAATAACTGTGAGTTTGCTGTCCTTTCACTGTTCATGTTTTTTTAACTTCTTTTTCTTAGATAAGTCCTTTTAACATTTCATATAATAAGGGCTTGGTGATGATGAACTCCTTGAATTTGATCTTATCTGAGAAGCACCTTATCTGTCCTTCCATTCTAAATGAAAGTTTTGCTGGATAGAACAATCTTGGTTGTAGGTCTTTGGATTTCATGACTTGGAATACCTCTTTCCAGCCCCTTCTTGCCTGGAAGGTCTCTTTTGAGAAATCTGCTGACAGTCTGATGGGGACTCCTTTGTAGGTGACTGTCCCCTTAGCTCTTGCTGCTTCAAGGATTCTCTCCTTCATTTTAATCTTGGCTAATATAATGATGATGTGCCTTGGTGTGTTTCTTCTTGGGTCCAACTTCTTTGGGACTCTCTGAGCTTCCTGGATTTCCTGGAAGTCTATTTCCTTTGCCAGATTGGGGAATTCTCCTTTATTATTTGTTCAAATAAGTTTTCCACTGGTGGCTGTGCCTTTCCCCCTCCTGGTACCCCTATAATTCGGATGTTGGAGCGTTTAAAGATGTCCTGGAGGTTCCTAAGACTCTCCTCATTTCTTTGAATTCTTGCTTCTTGACTCTTTTCTGTTTGGCCATTATTTGCTTTCTTCTGGTCCACTCCATTGATTTGAGTCCCAGTTTCCTTTTCATTGCTATTGGTGTCCTGTGCAATTCCATTCATTTCAGTTAGTTTCGCCTTCATATATTTGTCTAATTTGTGGGTATAATCAACCAGTTCTGTGAGGATCCTGATGACCAGTGTTTTAAACTGTGCGTCTGAGAGTTTTGCTATTTCTTCATCGCTTAGATCTATGGGCTCTGGGGCTTTGAGATCTTCTTGCGACATTTTTGGTCTGTTCTCGCCCTTTAAGTGTGAGAAGCGGTGCCTTGGACTCCCAGGTCACTGGGTTGTGACGCTGTATGTGGGGGCGTGGTCAGAGCGGGAAATGGCGACCCCCTCTGCTGTTCCTTGCTGCTGGGTGAGGAACAGCGCCTTAGGTGGTTCACCCAGGCCGGGCCACTCAGAGTTGCTGGGTTATGACGCTGTATGTGGAGGTGGAGTCAGCGCAGGGAAATGGCGGCGCCCTCCACTGCCGCTTGCCGCGGGGACCCCCGGGCCCTGGTCCAACCGCCCACTCCCTTGCCTGTCTGACCTCGCACAAATGCGCGACCGCAGTGAACACGCAGCACCGCTCCTCTGCTGTCTCCCCAGCAGTCGCTCACCTGGTTGCTCGCTCTGTTGCTCACTAGGTCCAACCCTGCGCCTGGATTCCGCGCGTCTGGGTTCCGTGCCTGAGTCCGTCTGACCGAGTTTTCCTGTGCAACCCCACTTCACCAGCCGCTGGTTTCGCCTCTTACCGGTCAGGCTGAAGAATTTGTTGTTAACGGACTTCCGAAAAGTTCAATTTTCCGTGTTCTGGCTGTGTTTTCTGTTGCTAATATTTAGTTGTCTCTAAACTTGGTTGTGTGAGAAGGCACATCCACCTATGCCTCCATCTTGGCGGAAGTCTCAGGACTTTTTTATTTCATTGCTTTGAGAGCAAGGAAGGGAGAGAGAAACATTGATGTGAGAGAGAAACATGGACTGGTTGCCTCCCATGCTTGCCCGGAGCAGGGATCATAAGCTCCCAGGTGACTGGCAACCTTTCGTTTATGGGATGATGCCCCCACCCACCAAGCCGCGGGGTCCAGGGCTTCGTGGTGGCTTTGGAAGAGCACAAGTTTTTGTTTTGAGAAACCCCAGCTTATCAGTTGTTTTCTGTTGTGTTTAGTGCTTTTCGTGTCCTGTCCAAGAAATCTCTGCCCACCCCAAGATTGCAAAGATTTTTCTCATCTTTTCTTTAGACATTTTATAGTTTTAGATTTTACATTTAGGTCTGTGCTTTAGTTTGAGTTATTTCCTGGGTATTAAGTAAGGATAGAGATTGAAGTTCGTTTTTGTTTTCTTGGATTCATGATACTCAGCTGTTACACGACCATGTGTTGGACAGCTACCCCTCCCCTACCGAATGCCGTGACATCTGTCAGGAGTCGACCCAGACAGTCGGCCGTGCGAAGGTATGCAGTGCTGACTCGGGCTCCATCACAGGCGAACCTGGAAAGTATTATGTTAGGGAAAGAAGCCAGATACAAAAGGCCACACATTTTGCATGATTCCATTTATGTGGAATGTCCAGAACAGGCCAGTCTGTAGAGAGAGACAGTGGTTGCCAGGGAGGGGGGCGGTGCTGCGAGTAGGAAGTGACTGCTTAATTGGGGAAGGGTTTCTCTTTGGGATGATGAGAAAGTTTGGAACTCCATAATGGTGATAGTTTTGCATTTTTGAATGTACCAAAACCCACCAAGTTACATACTTTAAAATGGTTAAAGTGGTAAATTTTATGTTGTGTATTTTACCATAAACAAAAAAATCACTTGGTCGTCTGTTTCTGAGACTCCTCATCCTTTCACTGTTTTATGCCTGCCCTTACACTAATACCACTTTCTTGGTTTTTGTAGCTTCTTAAGTGTTAAGATCAGGTAGTATAAATCCAACTCTGCTCTTTTCTTTTCTCCCAAAATTACTTTGGCTAGTCTAAGTTCTTTGCATTTCCATATAAACTTTAAAACTTAGCCAGTTTCTAGAAAAAAAGCTTGCTGAGATTTTGATTGGAATTTCACTATAACTCATTTTGTGAAGAATGGACATTTTAACAATATTGACTATGCTTTGTGACTACTGTAAATGGTATTTTTAAAAAAATATTTTGAGAGAGGGGAAGGGAGGTCAGAAAGGGGAACATTCATGTGTGGTTGCCTCTCGTGTGCCTCCTCCTGGGAACCTGGCCCTGCAACCCAGGCATGTGCCCTGACCGGGAATCGAACTGCCAACCCTTTGGCTTACAGTCCACAGAGCCACACCAACCAAGGCTGTAAATTGTATTTTTAAATATTTTATTTTTCAGTTAGTACAGTTGATTTTGCAAGACTGTGTCTTGCAACCTTGCTATAAACCCACTTATTTGTTTTATTTTCTAAATTCTTTGGAATGTTCTACATACAGTCATGTCATCTACAAATATAGTTTTCTTTCCCAATTTTTTTCTTTTTGTCTTAATTCATTGGCTAAATTGGCTGTAATAGTTTGCATTTTTTACTAGTAATGTAGGAAAGTTCCTGTTACTCTGCATCCTCACTAGCACTTGGTATTGTCCATTTCAAAAATTTTAAGCCATTCTAGTATCTTTTTTTTTTTTAATACAAAATGTGTTATTGGGATGGTTCCCTCCCTACTCATCTTGACTCAAGTGCTTTTCCTTTGGAAGGAGCATCCTTCTGGAAGCCTTGCTTTTTCCTCCTGTGGGCTGATGGAGCACAGGGGGGCAGCCCACACACCAGACTGTCGTTTGTGCACGGCTAAAGGTGGTGCTGATTTTACAGCATCCCGGGCATTCCACACCCACGACGCAGGAACTGGGGCTCTGCACCAGGCGCTGCTTCTTGTGTTGCCGCCTCTCTTCTGGACAGGGACGAAGGTCTCTGGCGAGAGGCGTGTTGTGGGGAGGTTGTCACCACTGGCCTCACTGTAGTTTTAATTTTCTTTCATTTTCCTGAAGACTAAGTATCTATGCTTATTATCTTTTTTTCCCTTAAATGTTTATTCAACCATTTTGCCCATTTTTTTGTTGGACTGTGAGAGCTGTGGGAGTTCTTTGTATAGTCAAGAGCCAGGTCCTCGGTCAGATGTATGCGTTATGAACATAATCCCCCAGTCTGTTGCTTATGGTATCTTTTGAAGCACACAAGTTTTGAATTTTAAGTCCAAATTATCAGATTTTCTCTATGGATGATGTTTTTGATGTCATATCTAAAAACCTTTGCCTTTCAAAAAGTTTTATAGACATTTTAGTTCTTACCATTCAGGTTTGGTCCATTTTGAGATTTTTGTTTGTTTCTTCTTTTTTTAATATTGGAAAGTAAGGTCTAAATTCATTTATTTGCATGACCATATCTAGTTGTCCCAGCACCATTAGTGTAAAGGATTGTTTTTCCTCACTGAATTGTTTGGCATCTTTGCTGAAAATCAGCCAGCCGTTAAGTATAAGGGTTTATTTCCAGACTCAGTTCCGTGCCATTACTGTGTAGTCTTCTCCTAAGGACTGCACGACTTGATTACTGTAGCTTATAGTAAATATGACATTGGAAAATGAACAGCCTTCCATTTTCTTGTTTATCAGAATTGTTTTGCATGAATTTTAGGCTCAACTTGTCAGTTTCACACAAATATCCACTGAGATTTTGGTGGGGATTGCTTTGAATCTGTAGACAAGTTTGGGGAGGATTGCCATGTTACTGATACCGAATCTTTCTATCCACAAACATGGAGCTTCTATGAAATTGTGTGCTTTTGGACATGCCTAAAATTTGTCCATTCATGTTTAAGAAATGTGGGAAAAGAGTAGTATATTATGGGTTATGTAAACAAATATATTTGCTTTACTGTTAAAATATTTCTCCACTAAAAGCAAATCCCAAATCACTACCATTTGAGGGTGAGGGGTGTGATTCCAAGTTCTCAGTACTCAGCTTACTTCCTGTTTCCAGATTCTGGTGAGCAGGTTCTCGTGGATGTGGAGACCAAGAGCAATAAAGAGATCGTGGAGCACATCAAAAAAATCCTGGGGAAGAATGAGTGAGTGGCTGGGGTTGACCTGGAGGGAGCAAACATCTCAGCCCAGATACTTGGAGAGAGAGGAAAGGAGGGATGTGTTGGGACAGGTGTCGAGAGGGCAGGCTCTCTGACAGCGAGTCAGAAGCTCACCTGGAGGGTCTGTTCCATGTGCTTGGCTGCTCACCAAGATGTGTGGCTGTAAGTCACTGAGCCTCTGAGCTGTAACTCCTTCCCCTGTGAAGTGGGGATAAACGTTATCCCTTCCTCCTGAGGTCAGTGGAAGCAGAGATGCAGCTAAAATACTTGCTCTCTGTGGCCAAAAACATGCCCCAGCTTGGCGATAGTGGGTGTCCAACCCCAGAGCCTGCTGTGACATGTCCGAGGGAAGGGAGGGAAGCTGAGAATGTCTGAGAAAGCAGACAGGCATTTCCAGGCCCTCTCATCCTGCTTGTCCCATAGTCAGACACAGGGTTGCCCCTGGCTATGTGTTCCAAGCTGATTATTGCTGTGCGGGCCTGGGGTGAAGTGTGCTTCCCAGGTGGTCTCCTCCCTGGGGCTTAACACTGCCTGCATGCCAAAGGCCTCACCTATGGTGAGGGGAGGGATGGGTTTGGGGAGTGGGGAGCAAGTTAGACACGGGAGATCCAGGTCTCCCTGGCAGGTGGTGGGGTTCACTCTGAGTAGTTCTGTGCTTCCCAGAGGATCAGAGCAATGTTGCCAATACCTTGTTGTTTTTGTGCTCTTTGGTAGGGCAACCCTCAAGAGAGAGGAGCAGGAGAAAAAGCAGCTTTCTCACCCCGCTCACTTTGGACCTCGAAAGTATTGCCTGCGGGAGTGCATCTGTGAGGTGGAAGGGCAGGTGCCCTGCCCAGCCCTGGTGCCGCTGCCCAAGGAGATGACAGGGAAGTACAAAGCAGCTTTGAAAGCTAGTACCCAGGACTAAGGCCCCAGGCCTGTGGGTTAGGGTTACCTTGGGCATAGGGTAACCCTATGCCCAATAGTCTCTCTGGCTGTCCCCAGAGAGACTGTGAAAATAAAGTGCCCCTTGATCACTCCAGCAGCATGGTATGTATCCAGTCTGGTACGAGGAGGAAGACCTGCATGGGGACAGGGCTTTGGGATCAGGCTGTTAAGGAGACAGACAGCCTGTTGATACCCCTGCATTGACCTTGTGGCCTTTTCCCAGTCTCCACTGGTTTCAGCATCTCTTCCAGACCCTGCTCTGGAGAATTAAGAGTTGCTGTGGTTGAGTTTGGTTGAGGCCATCCATAGCTGACAGTATGGATGTCCCCTCCATTCAGACTCTGGTTATTTTTCAGAAGTTCTAGAGCAAACCTTCATGCAGTGCTCACTTTTAAAACTAAAGCCAACTGATCCTTTCCTCCCGAGGGGCCTGACTATGGGCATGGCAGAGATGCAGGAAGCCCCGGTGGCCTGCAGAGACCAGCGTCCCTTAGGAATGCATCCACCGGTGAGCCAGCCCCTGTAGTCCCAGCCCCGTAGCAGGTAGGTTTTACAGACCCTGGAGGAAGAGAGAAGGCGCCTACGGATCAAGACTTTTGGGCCCTTCTCTGAGTGGCTGATGTTGGAGGCTGCCTCTCAGTTCACTGTCTTGGTTTGTTCAGTTCTTTAAGTTTTGGAAGAGGTCTGCCTAGTAGTTCTTTCCTCTTTAAGGACACTGATATTTCTAACACTTTAGTGTGCTGGTTTTAGCCATTAGGAGACATCAAAGCCCTCTGAGGTTCACTGTAACAAGTGAAGGGCCAGCTGGACTACAGACCCGTGCAAATACAGACCGGGAGACTTTGCCCAGTGGGATGCAGCAAGAAGGTGGGCGTAGAAGAGCAGGCGTTAGGTCCAGGTTCCTCTCTGATGAGACACTTCCTTGGTTGAGGTCTGACCATCTCTGTAAAATGGGAAGAGGGCATCACCCCATAAGGTGGTGAGCTGTGGGAAATGAGGTGAAACTAGAATGTTTTATTTGAATGTTGGAGATTATTCCATTAAATTAAGTCTGGCTCTTTTTACATTTGATGTGTAAGTTATGGTTTACTGTGACTTTGTACCAGACCTGTGTTCAGGGTGATAGCTTTGGCGGGGTTGGGAGGGGTAAGGGGGTGTGTGGGTCTAACGTGACTAACTGGCAGGCTTACTCAGTTTTGTTCAACTGAAATTCAAAATCTTGGTACCTTCTATCCCATCAACATTTTCTAGCCCACCAGAAGGTGGCTAGAAAAACCTATCCTCCATTCTAATCCCTCCTGTGAGTGCTGGCTTCAGTTCCTGTGATGTTTCTAACCATCCCACCTGGCTGGTTGCAGTGTGGCCTTCACACCAGCTGACTGGACTTTCTCCTAGGCCACCAGGCCTTTCTGAGTTTGTTCCTTTTGGTCTTTCCACAGTTGGTGAGATGAAAGGCCTTGTAGATGTACTCCTTCCCTCCATGGTCCACAGGGCCCAGGAAGGCAGCTAAGCAGGACTGCCCTGAACCAGGCTAGTGACCCCTCTTTAGAGCAATAACAAATGCCCAATGGAAAGCACCACTGTTACTGTTTGCAGGGCTGTTTTCATAGACAGCAGATAATGGTTCTTGGAAATGAACACCATTGTGGGGCATTATCTCTTTAAACTTTTTGTTTTCCATTTCCTGCTTTAATGATAAGAGACTTAAAATGTACAGAAATGGGGGAAAATTATTAAAAATTGCTGTGAAGATTTTGATTTATACAATGTTTCTTAATTTTATTTCATAACCAATGTTTGCTAAGTGGTTTTTGACTTTGTTCCAGTGAAGCTGACCAAGCTATTTAACGCTATTTGGCTGCCAGTGGGTTCTGCTAAGGGTCTTGACTTTGGACCTGTGACGTGTCACCTGTAAAATGAGAGGTTAGATGACTTGTGAAAACTTTTAAGAATACTTTGGTCTGAGGCCAGGCTGTTTGTTTCTGACAGCAGTCTTTGAGGACGGGCAGCCCAGGCCCTGCTCCAGAAAAGTAAGTCCAGTGAGCCATCAAATGGACAGGGCTGAGTAGCTTTTGGCTAAGGCTGAGGTGAGGTGAAAGCTCCAAGGTTTGATTAGGGCACCTCACCACCTACTAGGAGTTTAGGTGCGAGTGCTCTGGGGACTTCTGGGGGTCAGGCATTATTGTTATTACTATTACGAGGAAAAATGATGAGCAGGATGCACATTAGTCTTTAATTAACTTTTAATAGTATAAACCTCATTTAGGTAGTAGTATTAAGCCACAACAATAATGCCACATTGAAATAGCATTTAATAAAATGCATAAAGCTAATTCATGCACTGCAATACTCTATATACAAACACAACAATGCAAATTCTTCTTCAAGACTGAAGACATTGATTAGATATAAAATTCAGTTTAAAAAGAACATGCTATTTTTAAATGCCATCACAAACAAAGCTGATTTCAAGCTACAGCTTTCAACAGGTTTTAAATCTGTAATTAAAATGTAATGGCATAAACAATATTTTCTGTATTAGGAAGGGCAGAGGTTACAGAAACGGTCCCAAGAAAATCTAACACCCGAATTTTCCTTTAACAGACGTCTTTTAAAAGGGCTGGTAATACTTAGCTACATTTAAACAGAGGTCCAAACTACAGGTAAAAACTATGGTTTTGTACTATGAAAAATGTGCAGCTTTTCAGTTATAAAACTAGTTGAACACTGGTTTACAAGATAATTGGGAGGATATAGAAAAATATTCCAGCACTTGAGTTGTATGTGGCAGCAGCATTTGAGTCCATAAATGTTCTGGTTGTTAAAATGATTATACTTTCCTAGAGAAAAGTCATTTTTCATGTAAAGTCTACATCCAAATGTTATCCAAATATTAAGCTTTATCACAGTTGTCAACTGATAACTGTTGCTGAGCATTTTTCAGCACTTATTTGATAGCACTTTTTTCTATGTTGTATGTATACTTTGAGACACCAAAATTATCGTCTGCTTAATTCAAAGTATAGTGGGGCATTAAAAATATCTCAGACATCTCCTACCCCAACATACTTTTTTAAAGGTCTCAGTTGATTTTGTTTGCCGCTAAGATAAATAGCTCCAAAGGAAAATTTTTATTTTAAAGATGCATTTAGAGACTGTCGATCTTCCATTTTTACTACGTGAACTGGAAAGCTACTTTCAGTAGTGATTGTCACAACAGGCAAGGACATGGGAAAGGTGACAATCACTACTGGGAGGCCAGTGAAGCAGCAGGAGCTTTTTTATATCACAGATGGGGAAGCTGGAGGCTGAACAGCCCAGTCTCACAAAAGGCACTGAGTACATGGTCTCAATGAAGTGTTTTCAAATTCCAACAGCTTATTAAAAAAAAAAAAAAAGCAACCTGTGGATTAGGTTTTTGCATCCCTCCAGTGCTTTCTTTCAGCAGGCCAGCCTTCCACCTTCCTGGCAGTCAGGCCCCTGTGCTTATTACCAGGTCCACGAGCCACTACTGCCGGGCTGAGGCCTGGTTTCCAAGTGCCATGTCTCAGTTAAAGCCCAATTTAAGGGGAAAAAAATCACCAGAATAAACCTGAACAAGGAAAATTTGGCATTTGTAGCTTTAAGGGCATACATATCCATATTAAAATGCAAAATTTTATCTGAAATTTTAAAATCATAATTTAGAGAAAGAAGTCAGTAGATTTCATTCACATGCTATAGTTGGAGAAGTAATTTAAGATTTGTAACATATGCCATAAAGTTAGCCATCAGCATTTATGCTTATTTTTAAAGAACGCCTGGTAGGCTTTTTTTTTTTTTTGCAACTGGAGTTAGGCATTTGTTTACTCACAGGGCAGTGCCTACTGTCTGCTGAGTCCAGAGCAAGTGGGGAAATTGCTACCACACTGGGCGCCAGGTCCCATGACACAGACTGTTCTGAAACTGACCACATGACACAGCGAGTCTCTGGGGAGGCCAACAGCTCGAACTACCAAGTTCCTTCCAGTTAGCCCATAAATGGGCGTATGAAAACCACATTAAAGATCCTCATCTAGTTTCTGGACATTAGGATAAGTTGTCTTCCAGCTTCTTAGCCCTTGTCTGACCCTGGAGAATACCCAGCAATGTCATCCTGTTGGGACTTTTTCTGTCTGGAACTTTCCCTGGTACAGAGTGGAGATCTGACTTCATGGCCTTTCCCAGACAGACCATCCAAAGGAAAATGGAGTTAAAATATCAGCAAATCCATCTTCCCCAGGGACCTCGGAACACCCACATCAATTTACTTCAGCAACTTTTATCATAGATTCTCTTTAAAACATAAGGAGGGTTTGGGTACGTGGCTACGTATCTGTATACATAATATACATCTATGTACACATACACATTATATACACTGTACATATATAGAAGATATAAACACATGTACATTCGTTCAGTCATACAAGCCTATAAATCAGTACACAACAATGTGCTGAGGGGAGCTCAGGGCTGGACATGCAGACACGCCACACCGGTGGGAAGCACAGAGCTCTGTGTACAAGAGACCCATACCCACTCTGTCTCAACTACAAACATCAAAGTTAAAAAATGTCTGCAGAGAGCCGCACAGTCTGGTAGGGAAGGGAAGTGGGACAAGTATGGGGTCATCTGCCCTGCCTGTTCAGACCTTTCTAGGCTCTAAAGGGCGCTGACCTCCTGAGATAAAGTATCGGAAGACGACACTTTTCATGACCTGGGCTCAGAGAACAGTTGAAACGTCACCTGTAGCCCCCAATGCACGTCAGGCCATTTCCACCCGAAAGGAGGCCATGCCCTCCCTCTAACTAGGTCCTACATAGAACCTGGATCCATAGCCTAGGGCTGCCTGGTGGGCAGGGGGCAGGCAGGGAGTGAGACTGCTCTGTTGGGAACGCCCCCAGAGGACCAGAATGCGGTTTTCCCAAAGTGAAAGCACAAGGTACAGGAAGAGCCCTTCTAATTCTTGGCTCCCTGCCATGGCTGTCCTCAAAATAAGCAAAACTGCTAAGTAAGCTCTAGCAGAGAGTGCTGCCGCCACGCTGGGAGCCCTGAGTAGACACGCCTGTAGCTATTAGCATGACCCATGGCCATTGCCTCAGAACAGAGCCCACATTTAATACTGACACTAACAAGCTGGAAAGCCTCTCGAGGAATATTACATAACACATCTTACAAGTGACTACACCTGAAATTATAAAACCCAAACGAGAATCTCAACCACAGAGATAAGACAATAAATAATGTAACTCTCAATAAACAAAAATCTCAAATTAGAAGGATGGTTAACATACTTCCTTAAAAATACTTCCAGGAATCACTTGGAAAGTATTTGCGTGGGTAATTTGGTCTCAGATTCTAAGTTTCTTCCTGCCCTGTTTTACGTAATGAACGCCCCAAATTTCAAAACATAACTGACACCATTAAGATACCAGTGGAAAAGAGCCCGCTTCATCACAAAGCAACTGCGTATCTGTGCCCGCCTCCCGTAGCCAGCGCACCTCTCCTCACTGAGGGAGGGCTGGCCAGGCCAGCAGAAGGGTATGTATGAGCAGGCTACGTGGTACAGATTCCTGCTCCTGCCTTATTTCTCTCAGAGATTCAGTAGGCAGAGGGCTGGTCTCCTTCACTAAATCTAGGGTCTGAACCTACTAACACAGGTTAAATGCCTTGTGAAAGCTGAGCCCAAATATCTGCTTGGGATCCCTTTCAATGACTCTTGACTTTGAGCTTACTTCTTTTAACCAATTTGATAAGAGATAGAACAGACCTGCTGTCAAATGCTTGAAATGATTTGGGAGCAGCGAGCATTAAGGTAGTGTGGACCTGATCTTAAGGAAAGGGCCACTTCAGAGTAAGGCCAGAATCTAGGAACTAATGAGGAGTGCTCAAACCTGAAAATGGTCACTGAAATCAGCCCCCACCAGTGAAGGGACTCAAGGAAAAGGACCAGGTTACAATCAGCAACTTCCTAAGCTAAACAGACTTTTCTCCAGGGCTGTCTTGTTGGAGTGTGGCATTTCCCTATCCAAGTGTTCACTGTCC